CCCCAAAACCCCAAAACCCCAAAACCCCAAAACCCCAAAACCCCGTCTATTATATACTTGCTGAAATAAATATGGTCCTGTTTTGAACGAGCCATATCTTTGTCATCCTAATCTAGAGACCTTTACCGTAAAATTCTAATGGGAAAACAATTAAATCAGTCAGATTTAGAGTATGGTCTGGAAGTCAAACATTGCTTCTTTTCTCATCAGGAGTTTGTCCACATCCATATGTTCAAAATTCTGAAGTTTCTGTACAGATGTTGGTGTAATCATATTGAGTTTATTAAAGTTTCTTCCACTCCAGCCTTGCTTGAACCCACCTCCAGTTCCCATTTTATTGAGTGATTTACTGTTCTTTTTATGCTTGGGTGGCATTATCATCCTAATCTGAGCCTTTCGGACATTATTCATGTTTTTGATCATACTTTTTATTGATTTTGATTTGCCTAATCTCTTCAACAAGTAATCTAGGAATTAAATAATAAGTATACTGCTTGAGAGAGGTTTGATAGATTCTTTGTTGGTCGAAGCTCATTTTTGGAGAGCCTTATTGGACATATGAGGAGTAATCTCATTTTTGGGTGTCTTACTGCTGATTTTGGGTAGATGAGTCTGCATGCTCATGTTCTTCTTATTTTCCCTGATTTCGACCCTTTGAGAAACTAATTTGCTTTTTCTTGATATCTTCTATCGAAGCTTGGCCTTTTGTATTCCAACTTTGTTTACTTGTTTTACTAAATTGCTTGCTGTCTATAAAATTTAGAGACAACCTGATACCTTGACTGATCTTCTTAGAGAGCTCAATTCTAGAGTTGTCTTTGATAAGCTGATTGTAAAAACTTGTTACTGGATATTGATCATTCTCTATCTGTTTGTTTATTTTAGGTTGTTTAATGATTCTCATCTTTGTCATCTGTTTAAGGAAAGCTTTTTCAAACTCTCTATCAATCTTATACTTAACATCATCAAATGACTTTTCATCAACAAGAACTTGCTTTTTCTTATTAGTATTTCTGAGATTCTCAGTAACATCTTTAAGATTCTCAATATTTTTGATCAAACTGTTCATTTTATTCCATGCTAGGTTCTGGAACCTATCCTCCAGGGTATCAGAGACAGCTGTTTTCCCCAATACAAAATTCTTAGATTTTTCAATTTTCTTAGAGTTAGTGTTCAAGATAATTTTTAGGTCATCCTTTTTGAGTGAATAGACCAAACATTTATTAGTAGTCACTAATGCAGAGACAAATCTCTTTCGGGAATCAAACATAATCTCTTCAGAACCAATTATTTCATACGGGTCTAGCTTTGAGACCACGATGGTTTTCTATTTCTTACAATTGTACTCTACCTTTGTTAGATTTGGTTTAATGGTTCCTCCAATGGCAATCTTCTTGTTATTTTCTATTCAATAGTTTCTCTATTGCGATATCCTAAATAATTAGTAAGCAAATAGACATAAATGCTAACCCATTGTAAGATGAATTCTTAAGAAATCTGATAGACCTCAGGTAGTCTGTCATTAAAGCAACTCCTCCAAATAATTTATATTGATAATTATGTGGAATTCCCTGCTACCTCAGACTTATTCTCAACCTTCATGAAAGTTTAGTCAAAGTAATACTTTCCTAAAATTTAGGTTTCCTTTCGAATAATCAGAACCATAATTTATATTCACAGTTAGAGAAGTTTTAGAATAACTCAAATTTAAGAATAAAGAAGACTTTGTGATGGCTGATAGGGTCATCCTGGAGTCCATAATAAATATTTTGGCTTTCCTTAAGTAATTTATCTCGTAGATTATGCTAGATTTATAGCTAGGATTTTATGCTTCATTTATAAAATTCTAATAGGAGTGTTATTAATTAGAATTAGAGGGATGAAAGTCTGAGAAATTTCTCGACAATATATGATTTCTCTCTCTAGTCAAGCAATATAAATGATAAGCCAGCAACTCTTGGTGAGGATTTATTCTCTTTGCTCCGTTATATACGAAATTTTACCTTAAAGAATATAAAATATGCAAGAAATTAGTCAACATAGATATTTAAAGGCATTTCATGCTTACTTTAGTTTCTTCTACTTGCAATGTACCATGAATAGGACTCTTATTTAGAATAGGAGAACTTATCATAATCGACAAGATCTCGATCTTCAGACCTTAGAACCTTGAATTCCTTAGTCAGAGTTATGGATCCTTCGAGTAAGAAGTAAATACAGTCTGGTTCTTCATTTTCTCTATATATGTATTGTCCTTTTTCGAAGCTATCTGTTTTGAGATGCTTTAGTACCTTGGATTTGAATTTATTTGGAGTATGGTTTGAATACAGAGAAATTACTAACTCTTGATATTTCAAAATCTTCCTTTTTCTTCTTATGCTTCCTTAGAATCATATCGAAGGGGTGTTTGTCTAAAGTAGCAAGGATAATATCCGTTTCACAAGCGATAGTAGCATTTCTTGCTGTATTACCCACAAGTGCATCTCCTCCGAAGTCAAATCCATCTCCTAAAGTGGCTACTTTTGTGAAATATTCTATTTCATAATCATTCTTATTCCTGTTTCCAATGTTTCTAAGAATAAATGCTCTGTTGTATTGTGCACTTTTGTAGGTTTGAGAAAAGAAGTCATGAAGAGCATCCATATCAATTTTACCTTCTGAATCAAATTTTAAAATATCAATGTAATTTGGAAGTTCTAAGGGCTCCTTGTTAACAGATTTAACATATCTTTTTATTGGAACAACAAATTCTAAGAACTCTTTTTGATTGACATGTAATTTCGTGGATGCTGGGATATACACTGCAACCTGGCCTTTCAGTACAACATAAAAGGTTCGTCCAAATTCTCCAAATGTAATAATGTGATCTTCTGATTTGTTTAGCTGAACCTTCATTTCTTTAGCGCATTGTTCTGTGATTTCTTTACCACTATCTTGCTCGAGACTTTTGAAGAATTTGGTCTCACTGAGATAACTAGCAATGTACTTGATCTTTTCCTTTGTTCGCTCCCTTGTAGGAATATTCAGAAACTCCACAACTTCATCTACAGTTGGCATTTTCTTCTTCACTTCTTGATCATTTTCATCTTTTAGGAACAGCTTTCCATAAAGAGTGATTTTAAGCAAACCTTTCCCTAACACAAGGACTAACTCTGCTAGTTCAGGCGTCATATTTTTGAACCTACTGACTTTATTTTGTCATTTCTTCTTCCTGGCTTTCCTTTTCTTCAATACTCCTAAAATCCAAAAATATTCCCATTCACCACTAAAAACACCATGTTTCAGTACTCTTCCAAATGGGAGCAAAGTATGAACACTGAGAGGAAGGAAAGGTACAGGAACAGAAGGAAGGATTTTTAGGAGGAATGCAGAGAGAGGGGGAGGAGGGAACTGTAGTGATAGGGATGAAAGAGAGTTGTTTTAGTGAGAAATAGGTTTATAGGTAAAAGATATTAGAATTTAATTATTGGTTAAAAAGTAATTGAATCAGAGTGAAGAGAAGTTTGCATATGTAGAGAGTTAAAGCTAGAAGGAGTATTTAGCATAGCTAGATTTGAAAGAGGAAAGAGAACAAAAATTGTTGACATTAAAGAAGCCTTAAGAGACAGAGAATACATAGGGAGGTATCGAGATTTTTATTATTACTTTTGCCACTAGACATTGTGATAAATGATTATATTAAATATCTCTTTCAAAATTATCAGATTTATAAATAGTTTCATTAGTAAGACTATATCTATGCACCTTAACTTAGTTATGAGAAGATATACCTTTGAAAATATTTAATTTAGCTTATTCTTGGCCATCTACGGATTAAGATTTAGAGAATTGCTTTTCAACACTTTTTTATAATTCCTAACTTTTCACACAATTTTATTTCTGAAATAGCATTTTAATATTAGAATACAGGCCATTAAATTTTTCAAGTAATCGCAATCTAGAAAGTAAAGAGCACGCTTCGCATAAAATATTTCTATCTTGTAGCTCCAAGATTTTCTCTAAACTCAAAAAGCACGGAGTTCAGATTCTATGAAGTACTTTAACTTGTTTCATAAAACAGAGACGAATCTCTTGAACCTACTCTCCTGAGTATTAAGTTGCTCAGAGTAATTTGTTCCCGTCTCTCAAATGCAACAATATTCAAAAGAGTGAGAATAAAATTGAGAAAAGTGCAAGACCCGTTCTAAATGACTATCAAAACTAACAATTAGTACGGTCTTGAATGTAAATTATCTTAACTTCCAAAAAGCGTAGACCTTTCAGGCTTATTGCATATCTAAAACTTTAACAACAAGAAGTATTGAGGGTGTCTTCATTATTAATAGAACGTAGGATTCAAATTGAGTGTTTAGTAACTCCTGTAGACAGACAAATTTATAGAGACTCATAACTATGAGTAAATTATGAGTAAGTTTATTATGGCTATCTCAGCTGGATGCTGGCTAAGTTCTAGAAGACCCTAACTGAAGCCAAGAGCAAAGATTTAAGTAGGTGAAGAAAGCAAAAGGGATTTTACAGGTAAAGTTCTAAGCATAGGATTTTTTAGGGAATTTAAAAGGTAAAGAAGGTGTTTTGGAAGGGGCTAATAATGAGCAGAGTTGTTAGTGTGGACTTACAATAAATTAGTATTTTTCTTCTCACGTTCTTCTTCAGTCTCAATGATCTTCTTATAAGCTGACGGAGCTGCCATAGTCGCTCTCCTTGCCATATCTAAACCCAAAAATGTCAAAACCCTATCTCCTAACCCCCATACCATTATTACCCCATAAAACTCGCATCAAAGATTATCCCTCCCCTAATCACATACTCGATTCTTTCATTTTATTCCTCCAACTTAATTCCAATAATATTATATTAAATCGGGGTTTTGGGGTTTTGGGGTTTTGGGGTTTTGGGG